GGTTCTGTTTGGGACCACCAAATGAACTGTACTGTCCTGCAGAGCTCATCTAGTAGAACAGAAGGCTCATGAGGTTATAAAAAAATGAATGTCCTAATTCTGAGATGTTTTCAAGATATTTAGGGAGTTGGCAGTTTACTCCTAGAAATTTCTTAGAAGGGTTGGTTATTTAACGTAAAGCGCAGAGATCCAGAAATTAATATTAAATCAATTTTACCACTAACAGTAAAGTCTATGTAGCATCAGTTTAAAAGCACATATTGTCAGTCAACAGTGAGTGCCTACTAGATGGCAGACACTGGGTTAGGCTCAGCAGTAAGACAGACATCACTACTTAAGAATATATAAGGCACATGACCAGAATCGAACCCAGGACCCTTTGGTCCGTAGGCTGATGCTCTATCCACTGATCCAAACCAGCTAGGGCTGTGAGCTCAATTTCTTAGTCAAGCAAATGAGTGAAAGTCTAATGTCAACATGCTTTCACATAGACGCTTCTAACACATGATACTATCATAAGCACTAGAAAAAGAAGCCTACTCTGGGTGGAGCAATTAAAAAGGGCACCTGGCTCTCACTGGTGTGGCTCAGTTGTTAGGAGCGTCGTCCTATTTCCAGTCAGAGCACATACGAGAGGAAACCGGCCATGTTTCTCCCACACATTGATGTTTCTCTCTCCCTTCCTCTCTAAAGTCAATAAAAACATATCCTTGGGTAAGGATTTAAAATAAAAGGTCACATCTTCCTCTGAGTTAAGCCAGATAGGCCTCCCACTCAACCCTTGAACTGCACACACTTGTACAACCACATGTGGTAGCCTTACCTCCAACAGAGGAAACCTTGATTAATGCTATGGCACAAAGCACATAACTTTTAATAAGATGCTGATTGCACAGGCCATGCCAACTGCTCCAGTTCCTATAACGGGGATCTTACTGTGATGAATGGCCTTCTCTGAAGTGAAATTCTTAAGTTCATGCTTGGCAGTCGCCATCGTGGAAATCTAATAGAGGAAAACTGCAAAGTCACATCCACATCAAAAATTGGTCTGTAGAGAACTCCTGGGTGCCAGTGAGGAAGGAGGTGCTTCAGACACAACTGAATGACAAAGTTGACTATCAAGCTGGGTAGTTTCTGGCCAGCAGCCCAGCATCCAGGAGGCAAAGCAAGGAGAGGAAGAGGAAGGTGATTACAAGAGGGAATGAAGGAAGGAAAGGGGGCTGCTTCACCAAAGAGACAGCCAGATGGCTCTTATTCCCCTTCCACCATCGTCGTCCTCCTGCCCTAGTTGTCAGCTCCAGAACCGAGCCAAGTATAGCCCAAGGCCAAGTATAGCCAGGCACAAGGTACCTCCAGCCACACTCACACGGGAGAAAGGCCAGCCCCTGCCCCCAAGGGACCCAGGGTAAGAAATTCGCTCCCATTGCATCCTCTCTCCTGCTGGTGCACAGGACTTCTGCTGCCCAATGTATGGCCGCTCACTGGAGAGGCAGAGGATGAGAATGCAGAAAAGCTGGCTGAGGTCCGAGGAGGAAAACCGTTGATTACTGAAGCTGTGCCCAGCTCGTGCACCCTTCATAGGGGCCTAGCACACCTAGCGTAAGCAGGAGGTCTGAGATAGGGGCTCTGATGCCTGTCACCTGTGCACATTTGGTGGGCTGAGGTATCTGTAGTTGGCGATCTTCAAAGAGGCTCAGAGGCTCCTTGGGCTCCAACTGCAGGAGGTACAGCAGGCACACTGAACTAGCGGGCCTCAGCTATCAAAAGGAATACAGCTTCCCCAGAACCCATCCACGTAAAACTATTTCTAACCACCCTGACTGGTTTGCCTCAGTGGATAGAGCGTCAGCCTGCGGACTAAAAGGTCCCAGGTTCGATTCCAGTCAAAGGCATGTACCTTGATTGCGGGCACATCTCCAGTAGGTGTGCAGGAGGCAGCTGATCGATGTTTCTCTCTCATCGATGTTTCCAACTCTCTATCCCTCTCCCTTCCTCTCTGTAAAAAATCAATAAAATATGTTTTAAAAAATTAAAAAAAAAACACAACCAACTATTTCTAACCAAACTTTGTCCAGATGTATACTTAAATAAGGGTTTTTTACACTTGATTGGGAATTTTTCACCAGGGCTGTAGGAGAAAGATACCACAGGGCTACTTTTTAAAAATATATACATTTTTTATTGATTTCAGAGAGGAAAGGAGAGGGAGAGAATAAAAACATCAATGATGAGAGAGAATCATTGATCGGCTGCCTCCTGCACGCCCCCTACTGGGGACCGAGCCCACAACCCCTCAGGACTACTTTTTACCACTTGCAAAAGTGAGCTTAAGTAGAAAAAAATAATTTTTTTTTAAATATATTTTATTGATTTTTTACAGAGAGGAAGGGAGAGAGATGTGCCCGCAACCCAGGTACATGCCCTTGACCGGAACCGAACCTGGGACCTTTCAGTCCGCAGGCCGATGCTCTATCCACTGAGCCAAACCGGTTTCGGCGAAAAAAATAATTTTTAAACCCTCTATGCAATGAAGATTTTTTTGTTAATTTTTAAAAATTGATTTGAAAGAGAAACATGGATTTGTTCTACTTGTTTATGAATACACCGGTTGCTTCTTTTTTAATTTTTATTGATTTTAGAGAGGAAGGGAGAGGGAGAGAGAGAGAAACATCAATGAGAGAGAGAATCACTGATCAGCTGTCTCCTGCACACTCCACACTGGGGATCAAGCCCACAACCCAGGCATACACTCCGACTGGGAATCAAACCTCGACCTCCTGGTTCATAGATCGATGCTCAACCACTGAGCCATGCCGGTCAGGCCACTGGTTGCTTCTTATATGGTCCCTGACTAGAGATCGAGCCTGCAACCTTAACATATGGGAGCTACCAAGTGAGCTACCCGTCTAGGGCCTGCAACAGGATTTTTAAATAAGATATGAAACCCTAAGAATTTGATCAGTGCAGTGCTGATAACCATTTCTACAAATGGAACGGAAAACAATTCATTATCTGAGTGTAGAATCCAAAATTCCCCACTTATCCCTTAGTCTGAAATAAACCAAGATTTCCACATCTCTTCTGCCATATTCTACATAAGTAACTGTTTTTCTAATTCATTTGTGAATCATAATAGACAATACATATCTGACAAATAATTTTATAAATGTAGGGCAGTGTTTAACTTTTTTTTTTTCATTATCTCTCCCTCAAGAGCTTTTTTAGACATTTTCCCCTAATCATTCGGTTCCTCCCACCTCATGAAATTAAATACTAAGTAATAAGATTTTACCTGGTAGGGCTGAGCTTTACAGAGCCAAACCCTTGTAATATCTAAGAGTCTCACTTAAACACACACACACACACCAAAGGGTGATATTGCCCCCACTGAGAATACATGATATAGTTGTACTTCCTAGAATATTCACTGTAGAAACTATTTACAGCTTTTCAATCTCTGCCAGGATTTCCTAAAATGAAATTTTAATTTGGAATACAAAGAGGAGCTTTTAAAACAAGGCAAAATCCACAGAAGATTCCCCTTTTCCTTGATCCTACCTAAACTCATTACTATATTTTGTGTATTCATGGGAAGTATGTGTGAGAGAGAGAGAGAGAGAGAGAGAGAGAGAGAGAGTGTGTGTGTGTGTGTGTGTGTGTGTGTGTGTGTGTGTTTTTAAAAAACAACAAAATAGCCTCAGCAGTAGAGTGGCGGCCTGTGGACTAAAGGGACCTGGGTCCAGTTCCTGTCAAGAGCACATGCCTGGGGTTGCAGGGTCAATCCCCAATAGGGGGCGTGCAAGAGGCAGCCGATCAATAATTCTCTCACTGATGTTTCTCTTTCTCCCTCTCTGAAATCAATAAAAAATTAAAAAACAAAATAATAGGAAACAAATCATGTTTAGTAGTAGATGACTAGAATGAAAGCTATTACAGTAGCAAGACTAACAGGGTGAACTGTAACTCTCTTTGCTAATAGGTACACCTGCACTAGAGCCATGCAAGTCCTCAGGGCCAGCACAGCTGCCTTCTAACTTTTCCCACTGCTCTAGTCTAATTTGTAAATCACCTTGGTCCTGATTTCTTAGCTTTTGTTTCATTGGTATTTCCTACAGCTGCCTTAATTCTTTGTGGAGTAAAGGAAATATATATGTTACATATTATATGTATATACATATATACATATATCTGTATATATAAATCAAAAGAAGAACATTCACTCCTAGATTGGACACAAAGAGGGAGCTATCAATTGACTTTTATAAAGCATTCATTAATAATTAATTAGTTGATGTACCTTAAATACTCACTGTAAGATACTTGAGGGCAGAAATCATGTCATATTGACTTATAATCATAACACAGCAAGAATAATAGTAATTTGCTGAACAAATTGGAAAGAAATGTAATCGATTTCCAAATTGAAAGTTGGAAATCAGAGGTTCCATGTTTCACATTAGTTTCAGTTAATCACACAAACCAAGACAAATTTCCTTATATTTATTTTCCACAATGCTTAATTTTCACTTATATCTAATGTGATGGTCTAAGCTCCCTGTGTAGTATTTCAACAAAGACTCCAAATCCACAATTTGAATTTAGATTAATTGGTATTATACTTGCAGGGTTGAAGATATTTAAATTTTTTTACACCAAAAAGGTATATTTCTATTTTCCTTCTGAAATACATGGTCTTAAAAATAAGCACTCAGTAAAAATTATACATAGACACATGAAGCAATATAAAGTGAATATGCTGTTTCCCTAAGGGAAGAAAGCACAAGATAAAATTTCAATACTAGAAAAAGTGCTTGTTTTGTGAAAAAAATCTTAAGTTCTATATTATAATGGATTGTTATATATATTTTATTAAACCCAAAGGCCACTCTTACATTTGTACAAGTTGGGTATCTTAGAATAGAGCAATGTGAGATTCATAAAAGAGGATAAATTTCTTTACCACTTCCTTTTTCTACCCTTGAGAGGCTGGAGTATGCTATAGGTCTCCGATGCCTTCTTATATTTTTCATATCAGATGAAAATACTTTCAAAATGTAAAATACACAGTTTGTTATCTTCTATTCTATAAAACAGTGGAACATTAAAAGGCTTTAAAATACCAGGTCTTTTTGGATATCCCAAAGTGTGTTTGCACTCTTCTTAAAAAGGTCCTCCTCCTCAGAATTCAAGTTAACTTTCACAATATCTGAGATACCACTTTGCCCCAAGATACAAGGGACACTGAGAAAGATTTCTTCTTTTATTCCATATGAGCCCTAAAAGGCAAAATTAGATTACTGTTCAGTTAACCTGATATGGAAAAGCAGCTGTGCTAGAGAGCTTCTTAAGAATAAGAGTATGGAGCACAACAAGAATCCTCAGCGAGTGGTTAAGTGATCACTGACAATACCAAGAGCATCCTAATGTCCTATGACTATGTGGAACTTGTGTTCAGTAACATGAATATCGTGCCAGAGGCCTCAAAGGGACCAAGAAAGGCACTGTTTACTTTACCCCCTACCGGGTCATCCTTCTATCTAAGGGTAAGGGTGCCATGCAGTCGTTCATAATTTCATTTCATCTGATAGAGAACTGTACAATCAAGCAGCCTGTGTTTGAGATACATCAAGAGAACAGTGAATTCTGAAGCAGAAAGTGGCTGAGAAGGCTCTGTTTTGTATAAATTGACTTTTACACCATGGTGTGCCACTGAGTTTGGACAAAAGATGCCACAGATGGAATCTCAAGTCTCCAGAAGTGAGCCTCCAATGGAACCTATGGGTATGGGTACCCTCTCATGCCTAGCAGGGCACCCACCAGTTGCCAATGGAATATACTCCTACCTTCCAGGATACCTCTACCCACTGCCCCAACCTGATTGATACCCTGAACCTCCCATGATGTACAGGGCCCATGGCATAGGTGCAGTCATGACCACTGCCCTATCTTGGGCCTATTGAAACATTGGTCTCCAGCCCTAATATTCCCTCCACTCCAGCAGCTGAATCCAAGGCCACAGAAGCAGCTGCCAGAAAGTCTATTAAAACCTGCACAAATTGCCTGGTCCGCATGCTCAGTGGTTGAGCATCTACCTATGAACCAGGAGGTCACGGTTCAATTCCTGGTCAGGGAACATGCCCGGGTTGCGGGCTCAATCCCATTGTGGGGCATGCAGGAGGCAACCGATCAATGATTCTCTCTCATCATTGGTGTTTCTATCTCTCTCCCTCTCCTTTCCTCTCTGAAATCAATAAAAATATATTCAAAAAACAGCTCTGCACAACTCACACAATGCTTGCATTCTCATAAACTAGCCTCTGCCTCTCCCTACTATCCCTGGAAGATAAGAAGACCCAGTAGACCCGTCAGACCTCCCTGTCTCTCATCACTCATTACTCTTTCCTACCCCACCCTTGGGGTTGAGTCTAGGGTTGGAGGAAGTGACGGAAAGGTCTTGTTATTCCTCCAGGTCTGATTATAAACAGTTACCAGGAACTAGCATTCAGAGAAGGGCAAAGTCCCTTGATTCTAGAGTGGTGCCTCCCAGTTTCCCACAATAGCTCACAGCCCACAGGCACTACTCAACCAAGCTTCCCTCTCACCATTTCTGGGCTCTCCTCAGGAGCTCAGGGTATACACCTTGTTCCTGTCTTGCTCTAGTCACCCACAGAGGGATTCTCTGGCCGCCTCCTCCACTAAAGTCCAGCTTCCTCATTTTGGTAGCCACTTTATATTCAACCTCATGAGCTCCATCAGACCAACCACACGTCTTTCTCTGAGGGCCCCTTTCCAGGCTGTATTCACATTCACTCCACTCTGGGCTGAAAACAAGGTCCTAGACCCCTGGGGCCTAGCCTGGCCCTGTGTGATGACCATGACCTGCTGCCACCCCCTCAGCCTACCCTCTTCCTTTTGGTGGCCTGACTCTGCTTGCTTTTCCCTTCACCGTGCACTTCCCATTACTCCCTTTGCTCTCTGCATTTCAACAGATGACCCTTTTTTTCAGATCCTCAAGTGTTCTCTGCTTATATCTACCTCAGATCCTCTTGCACGTGTTCCCTCTGCTTGGAATATTAATCCAGCCTTCCAAATTAACTCCTACTCATTACTTGGATTAGGTCATTTTACTTCTTTGGGAAGACTTCCCTAACGACCACCCATGCCCCTTCCCAGAGTAGTTAAATTCTCTTCTTGTGTACTCTTAGCACTTTTTAGTTTTTCATTATAGCACTTAGTATAATTTATTATTAGGTATTTTCTTTTGTAATTGTTTTATTAAGTCCATTTTTCATTAACTTCTATAAGGGCAGGATCTCTGTCTTTTTTGTTCACCATTATATCCTCAACACCTTGTGTATGCCTGGCACATAGTAAGGACTCAACAAACATTAATGATAATAAAGATCAATTTAAGCCTACCTTAACCATAGTCGAAACTGAATGCACTCTCCTAAGATTTTTCAAAATGGATTCTACCAGATTTGTCACAGATAGGCCAATAGCCCAAGAGGTGTACCCCTTCAGCTTAATAATCTCATAGGCACTACAGTTGTAGAAAGTAAGAAAAGCAAATGAATGAGAAGTCAACTTAGAGAAAAGAATATATTGCAAGCATCCATTCTGAAGCAACCTACATATCAATTCCACTCCATTAAAATTTTCTAGAAACCAGTTATAAATAATACAAGTTTTAATACTATGCTCATAGACTTCATTATCACTTTAATAATTCACCGTCCTTTTATCATAAAGGCAGAATATTGAAGCATATATGCCATTCAAGATGAAAATTAGTTTTAAACTTTTTGTATTATTGCTTTTTTAACTTTTTTATTGAACTTATTGGGGTGACACTGGTTAAAAAAATACATAGGTTTTAGGTATACAATTCTACAATATATGATCTGTATGTTATATTGTGTATTTTATATTATTAGTTAAATATCCAAACATAGAATCTGTTCACCTTGAAAGTTAGCATATATATCTTGCTAGCCACTAAAAATTGTTACTGGGGTGCAATGTATACAATTTAAGCCATGTGCACATATTTTTCCTAAGAATATATCATTAAACCAGTAATATATGGAAATTTGGGAAAATGTTGATACGTTTTCTTTATTTTTCTTTATTTTAGAGAGGAAGGGAGAGGGAGAGAAAGAGAAACACCAATGATGAGACAGAATCATTGATCAGCTGCCTCCTGCATGTCCCACACTGGGGATCAAGCCTGCAACCTGGGTATATGCCCTGACAGGGAATCGAACTGTGACATCCTGGTTCATAGGTCGACATTCAACCCCTGAGCCATACTGGCTGAGCCATGATACATTTTCAAAAGAAAATAACACAGTCCTAAACACTATGTAATTTCTCATCTCAAACTTGTAAAATACACAATACTTTTATTTTGTTGTTAATCCTCACCGGAGGATATTTTTTTCCATTGAGAGAGAGTAGAAGGGACCAAGGGAGATGGGGAGAGAGAAACATTGATGTGAGAGAGACACATCAATTGGTTGCCTCCCATATGCCGTGATCATGGCTGGAAATAAACCCAAAATCCAGGTATGTGCCCTTGACCAGGAATCAAACCCACAACCCTTCAGTTCACAGGCTGATGCTCTAGCCACTGAGAAACACCAGCCAGGAGAGAACATAACACATTTTTATAGAAACTTTAGAACAGTATCAATCCACCAAGTTATTAATAGTGATTATTTTTTAGTGACAGGCTTACAGGTGCTATTATTTTCTTTTTAAAAAAAATTTCATTAAATTCAGAGAGGAAAGGAGAGGGAGAAAGAGATAGAAACATCAATGATGAGAGAGAATCACTGATTGGCTGCCTCCTGCAGGCCCACACTGGGGACCGAGCCTACAACCTGGGCATGTGCCCTGACTAGGAATTGAACTGTGACCTCTTGGTTCATAGGTCAATGCTCAACCATTGAGCCACGCCGGCTGGGCTGCTATTATTTCTTTATGCTTTCCTGAATATTCTTGTTGTCTACAATATATATGTATTATATTTTTGTACTGCCACCAACAGTGGTCTCAGGTTTGGATTGACTCAAAAGACAAGGAGGTTTTAAGATACCACTGAGTTTACTTAGTTTTGAGAAAAGAATATACGATAGGAAACACAGAATGTACAGCATCGTTATTCCAATCAGGTTATCTAACAACCACCTACACATAATTTCAAGGCACCAGGACTGCACATAACATACTTGGTTGCAAAATATAAGACTGATGTGTAAATGGAACATCTCAGCACATAACAGTTGGACTGTACTCATTGTGGTGTGCTGGGATTTGACTGTCAATCCAGAACCAGGGGTACTATTAGAATTCATGCACATTAGTGTCAAATTAGAATTAGCTTTCAGATTCTTAATTGGTGTCAAATTAGGATTAGCTTTCAGACCAAGCATCTGTGGGGTAAGTAAAAAGAAAGGGAGGAAGATTATGCCTAAAAAGTAATTGATGGTATATAAGTAGAAAGCTCTGCATAGATAACTGGGGACAAATCTTACCAGTGGAATCTGGATGACAGATCTATCCTCTCAGGAATTAACAAAATCGCTTTGAGAGCCCTAGTCGGTTTTGCTCACTGGTTAGAGCATCAGCCCTCAGACTAAAAGGTCACGGGTTCGATTCCCAGTCAAGGGCATGTACCTCAGTTGCAGGCTTGATCCCCAGTCCTGGTCAGGGTACATGTAGGAGGCAACCAATCCATGTGTCTCTCTCACATCAAGATTTCTCTGTCTGTCTCTTGCCCCTCTTCCATTCTCTCTAAAAATCAATGGAAAAATATCCTCCAGGTAGGATTAACAAAAAATGGCTTGAGAAAGAGGATAGAGAAAAAATGGCTAAAAACATAATCTTTTACTTGTTATTAACCATCCTAATGAAAATAAAATTTTTGGTATAAAAGGAAAGCTAAAAGGAGCAAAGAGAACAAGCAGTTCTAAGGCTGATATTTTAAGACAACTGATCCATGTTCTAAATTACATGATCTATTGGGAACCTGGAAGGACATCTTATTAAATCCTGATGTCACTCCTCTGCAATTATTGGTTAGGTACTGGAAAATCAAAGATTATAAAAGAGTTGAGTCATTTTTTTAGATAAATACTAGCAGTACTCTGATGATTTTTTTTTATAATTATAGATCCTCTGCTAAATGACTAAAAGGCAAATAATTCCATTTTGGCCACTGCATTGTTGAGAGGACTAATTGGAACAAGTACTGATCTGTAACATGTTATAGTATTTGGTACTTAAAACATACAAGATAGTGATGTGGCCTGAAAGCTACACCTGAGCACTTGTAATACCTCCTTAAGATGCTAATACTCTATACCAGTGAAGGTGAACCTATGACACGCGTGTCAGAGGTGACACGCGAACTCATTTTTTGGTTGATTTTTCTTTGTTAAATGGCATTTAAATATATAAAATAAATATCAAAAATATAAGTCTTTGTTTTACTATGGTTGCAAATATCAAAAAATTTCTATATGTGACACGGCACCAGAGTTAAGTTAGGGTTTTTCAAAATGCTGACATGCCGAGCTCAAAAGGTTCGCCATCACTGCTCTATACTGTGTTTTTTGTCCAGTGTCCTTTCACCAAGCTTGATAAACTTAATGCTAGGTTAAAGCTTATTATGCTTCATTAACTTGATAGTCTGAACTTCAAAACACTATGTATAGCCATGTACTTTATTTTCTTTTTTAAACAGTGGTAAAATTGGCCATTTTAACCATTTTGAGTATACAGTTCATTGGTATGCTATCTAATAAAAGGGTAATATGCAAATTAACTGTCACTCCATGACAAAGATGGTGGTGCCCAGTCCTCTCAGCCCCACCAGAGTCCCCAGTCCGGGGAAGCAGGGGCGGCCACTGAGAGTGGGCAGCATGAGCAGCCTGGCAGAATTCTTGATTTGTCGCTGTGCCTGGCTCAGGCCGGCCCCCTGGAGCTGGAGTGGACACGGACAGGAACAGGGGGCCGGCCTGCAGCCTCCGCGGCCGAGGGCAGGCCCACAGAGGAGATGGCGGGCCTGCCTCCCGCGAAAGCAGCACGGCTCCCTCCCACCTCCTGCGGAATGAATGCGGCTCCCTGCGGTTCCCGCAGACTCCCGTGTAAGTGGCGGGTGGTCTACTGCACATGATATCGCAAGATGGGCTACTAGTTAAGTACATAAACACTGTTGTATAACTATTACCACCATCTTATCCAGAACTTTGTCATCTTCCCAATTGAAACTCTGTATGGATTAAGGTGATCATGTGATTTTATGGTCAGAAAATTATTTTTTTAAACTAAAAGGCATTTAAAAAATAAAAACTTGCCCATAATCACTGTTGCTATATTGTGTACCTTTTTAGTCTCTGCCCTAATTATTATACATTTTTGTAGAGTTGACATCCTAAATATACATTACACTTGAGCTTTTATAAATTTAATATTCCAGTTTAGAATATCCAGAAGTGATTTTTAGATTGTGTAACTTTTACTAATATGTGACTTGGCTAAAGCATAAAGGGAATCATGTGGGCTATTAGAGCTGATTTACAGAGTCAGACACTTCATTTATAAATACACCCAGTTAACTTCTGATCATCTGCATCGGCTTTGTGTTGTTTTTTTCATCAAGTCATTTGATGAATCCAAGTTCTAGGTGCTATTCTAAGCATTTTATGTGTATTAACTCATTTACTCTTCATAACAGCCCTCTAAAGTGAGCTCTATTATTATCCCCATTTTAAAAACTTGGAGCCGAAACCGGTTTGGCTCAGTGGATAGAGCGTCAGCCTGCGGACTGAGAGGTCCCGGGTTCGATTCCGGTCGGGGGCATGTGCCTGGGTTGCGGGCGCGTCCCCAGTGGGGGATGTGCAGGAGGCAGCTGATAGATGTTTCTCTCTCATCGATGTTTCTGGCTCTCTCTGTCTCTCTCCCTTCCTCTCTGTGAAAAATCAATAAAATATATTTAAAAAAAAAAATTAAAAAAAAATAAAAAAAAAAAACTTGGAAACTGAGCTTCTGAAATTTTAAATAACTTGGCAATATCACACTACTTAATAAATGGTGAAGTCAGGTTTCAAACCTAGGAAAGCTGGTTCCAAAGTGCTCATAATTACTTGCTAAATTACCCTCAAACACATATGAGTTCTTGTAAAGCACATTTGCTTTGTGAAAATGCCCCCAAATAAAGCAATGGGTAATATAAGTCTGAATTCAAGGATTTTCATAAGATTAGAATCATTTACCACACAAAACTCAAAGATCAACTATATTTTTTTCTGTGACATTTGTTCTTACTACTGATTATTAATGCTTTAAGAAACTTAGTGAGTACTTTACCTCTGAACAACTTGTCTATGGATATTTTTCCATTGGTCCTTGTCTGAATCAGTTCCTAAGTTAGGGTTTAGAGTCTTCAGAGCAACACCAGCGACATTCACCCCACTCCATAAGGGCACTAAAAAGAAATGTATCTCAGAATGAACTCTTCTTCCTAGCACTGCTTCAGTTGTTTTAGTAATTTTTTATAAACTTAGATTACTACCTTATACCATATAATAAAATAAGTTTCAAATGGCCAAAAAGGGAAATGTAAAAAATAAAATTATGCGTTAGAAAAATATGTAGTAGAATTTATTTATAACTATGTGACATAGGAGGTATTTTAAAGCAAGGTACAAGTACAGAATCCACAAAGAAAAGGATGGTTAAAAAGATAAAATATTACAAGCAAAACAGGAAAAGAGCAACAAATTAACACCAAACTTCTCAACAGTAACAAAGAGCTGAGGGGGAACTACTGTCAATCTAGAATCTCATATCCAATTAAAGAATGAGGTGAAGCTAACCTGGCCAAATAGCATAGTTAGAGCATCATCCTGATATACCAAGGCTGTAGGTTTAATCCCCAGTCAGGCCAAATATAAGAATCAACAAAAGAATGCATAAATAAGTGGGACAACAAATCTCTCAATCTAATATGTCTCTCTGTCTCTCTCTCTCAAGTCAATAAAAAATGTTGCCCAACCAGTGTGGCTCAGTGGTTGAGCATCAACTTATGCATCAAGAGGTTGCTGGTTCGATTCCCGTCAGGGCACACTCCCCAGTTGCAGGCTTGGTCCCCGGTGGGAGGCATGCAGGAGGCAGCTAATTGATGTTTCTATCTCTATCTGCCTCTCTCTTCCTGTCTCTCTAAAAATCAATTTAAAAATAAATAAAAATATATATTTTTAAAAATACACTGCTTCATTTTCAAATAAAATAATGTAATATTAAAAGTGAGAAATAAAAACATAACTAGGAAATTTTATTTTTAATGACTTCCAGGAGGAAGAGCTGAATTAGTACAGTAACACAAACCAATAGGTCAAATTAAGTATTTGTCTAAGTCAAATCAAAAGTATTTGTTATAATACTGCACCCTCTCGCAATCCGGGACCCCTCGGGGGATGTTGGAGAACCAGTTTCGGCCTGATCCCCGCAGGCCTGGCTGAGGGTCCCCACCAGTGCATGATTGGGGCTGGTGAAGGACCGTGGGAGGGCTCCAGAGCGTGTCAGCCTGTCTCACCCAATCCCGTTCAGTCGGACCCCAGCAGCAAGCTAACCTACCGGTCGGAGCGTCTGCCCCCTGGTGGTCAGTGAGCATCACAGCGACTGGTTGAACGGTAGAACAAACAGTTGGACACTTAGCATATTAGGCTTTTATTATATAGGATGACATTTGGAGTAAAAAAAACAACAGACAAGCCCTAACCGGTTTGGCTCAGTGGATAGAGCGTCGGCCTGCAGACTGAAAGGTCCCGGGTTCGATTCAGGTCAAGGGCATGTACCTTGGTTGCGGGCACATCCCCAGTAGGAGGTGCGCAGGAGGCGGCTGATCGATGTTTCTCTCTCATCGATGTTTCTAGCTCTCTATCCCTCTCCCTCCCTCTCTGTAAAAAATCAATAAAATATATTTTTTAAAAAAACACAACAGACAAGAAGGACTTATTAAATGTTTTGACTAAACAAATAAATAACTGAATCAATGGTCCTTATTCTTAATGGGTTTACTGCCACTGTGGAAAGAAGATTCAAACATGATACAATTAGAGAACACTGTAAGAAGTATAAAGTTCTAATTGTGCTGCAGAGCTTAAATGTTTAAGTTCAGAAAAGAAAAAGATTGGTATGGCCTAAGTAACAGTTTAAACACAAATTATATAAATTTATTTAAATAAAAAGTCTGGAATAAACAAAGCTACAGAGTCAAAAAGTAAATTAGTGGTTGCGTGGGGCTGGGGTGGGAGTGAGTTCAGGAGCAAAAGTGTCTTTCTGGGGTGATGAAAATGTTCTATAACTAGATTGTGGTCATGACTGCACAACTCGGTGAATATACTAAAAACCAGTATTGTACCTTTGTAATGTTTAAAAAATAACAATAAATGAAAGTGCTCCAGATAAGAGAAACATTCACTGACTTTTAAAATAGTTATATGCTCTATGCACAATTTAATGAGTGGTAACTAAATCCATGATGCAAAAAGCTGAAAATAAAGAAATCAAAAAAGATAGTGTACACCAGGAAAATACCAATAAAACAAAAGTTACACAGCTATATTAATATCACAAAAAATAGACTTTAAAGAAAATAAAGCATCATTATAGATAAGTGTGATTACATAATGAAAATGGGTTTATACTTACCACTAGAATCACCATGTTCTCCAATAATCCAACCGTGGCAGCTAGTGGGATGGACACCCAACTTCTCTCCAATCAGGTAACGGAAACGGGCAGAGTCTAGATTACAACCACTTCCAATTATACGAGTGGCAGGTAAGCCACTTAGCTTCCAGACCACATATGTCAAAATATCCACTAGCAAGAAAAATTTCTTGTTACAAAAAGATTTATAGTAACTTCCTTTTACAGTTTGCTTTTCTGAATAGACAGATCAAATGTTTTAGTCAAATATAAATTTATTACAAAGTTTGAAGCAAAGCAATTCAACAAGGAAATATTGATAATCTCTCATGTAGGTTTTAAGAGGTTAAATTATTCACTATTAGAATTTTTTAAATTCTCTTTTAAGATAATATATGTGCCTATCTGTATATTTTATAGTTAGTTAATTCTACCTCAAGGCTGCCTAGATTTTTCCTCTCTATCACCAAAGCCTCATCAAAGCTACCAACATTTTCTACCTAGACAAAAGTCACATGCATACCCAGGGCAGTGTGCCAGTGTGTGCATGCTCAGGAAAAACATGAGAAGATCCTAAGCTTAAGCTCTGTATGACCTTGAGGCTCTGCACAAGCAGGAAGTGAAGGGCACAGCTGTAAAACTGGTTGAGTGTTGAAGGCATGCTCCAACATGCACACAGAGGCCTACAGCAAAGACTGGGAAATACTTTGATTCCATTTTTTAAAAGTTCCGTTCAATCTTTAGCTGATCACTAAACAAAGAGATAAAAGATGTCTGTGGCCACGCACAACAAAGAATACAGACTTGCAGAATGAGTGCACAAAAGTCATGAAATAAACAAAAGACAGCTGCAACAAGCGTCAACAACAAAAATCCCTAGGAGAGAAGAATTTGATTTATACAGTTTTCATACTATCATTTTTTTAATGTTCAGTTTTTAACAAAAATTATGAGGCATGAAACAAAATAAGGTAGTTTGCACCAAAGGAAAAAAAACATCAATAGAAACTTAGAAAGCCCTAACATTGAACTAACCTATCTTCAAGTCTACTGACTCCTCCTTCTGCCTTTTCAATCTGATGTTATACCCTATATACTGAATTTTCATTTAGCTTTCAACTTCAGAATTTCTATTTAGTTTCTTTTTTTAAATTTCAGTTTATTAATATTCAATATGTAGTGAGACATCAGTCTCATATTTCCTTTACTTCTTTAGGCTTGGTTTGCTTTAGCTCTTTAAACATAATAGTTGATTTAAAGTATTTGTCTGAGCCCTAGCTGGTTTGGCTCAGTGGATATAGTGTCGACCTGTGGACTGAAAGGTCCCAGGTTCGATTCTGGTCAAGGATGCATGCCCAGGTTGCAGGCTCTATCCACAGTGTGGGATATGCAGGAGGCAGCCAATCAATGATTCTCTCTCATTACTGATGTTTCTATCTCTCTTTTCCTCTCCCTTCCTCACTGAAATCAATAAAAAAATATATTTAAAAATAAATAAATAAAGTATTTGTCTGATAAATTTTTGTTCAGTGACTCTGGCCAAAACTTCCAGCATGATGTTAAATGGAAGTGGTGAAATGACATCTTTGTCTTACTGATCTTATTAGCAGGGAGAAACCTTTCAAGTCTTTCTCCACTGAGTATGATGCTAGTTATAGGTTTTGCACAAATATCTTTTATCAGAATAATTTCCTTCTACACGTAGTTTACTGAGAGATTCACTTGTAAAATCATGATTGGGTGTTGAATTTTGTTGAATGTTTTTTCTGTACCTATTAACCCTTTTGTCATTACGTAATACTAGAGGCCCGGTGCACGAAATTTATGCACTCGAGGGGGTCCTGCATCTCAGCCTGCACCCTCTCACAGTCCGGAAGCCCTCAGGGGATGTCCGACTGATGGCTCAGGCCCACTCCCCACAGAATGACCGGAATGACCGGTCGACCATTCGCCATGATGCACACTGACCACCATAGGACAGATGCTCAATGCAGGAGCTGCCCCCTGGTGGTCAGTGCGATCCCACAGCCAACCTCCTGCGGCCCCTTTTCCCTTGCCAACTGCCCTGCCCATAGGCCCCAATCGGGGGGCCAGCCAGCCAACCTCCCGGAGTCCCCCCCTCTGGCCGGCCAGCTTCCCTGATAGGCCTCGATCACTGGCCAGGCCGAGGGACCCTACCCGTGCACGAATTCGTGCACCGGTTTTCTAGTATAATGGTAAAAGGATCAATAGATGCAGAAAAAAGCATTTGATAAAATTTAACCCCCATACATGATTTTTAAAAAACTCTCCACAAGAGAAGTGAATTTCTAGGGGGAAAAAAGCCCACATTAAACATCATACTCAATAAGACTGAATGTCTTTGCCATGAAATAAAGAATTAGGCAAGTATGTCCACTCTCAACACTTATACAAGGTATCACGGACACTAATACTACTACCAGTATGTACTACCAGAGGGCATACATATAAATAGTATTTACTGGAAAAATCTTAGAAGCAGAGAAGTAGGGAGCCACTCTATGTACACTGACTTCTCATTATTCCACAGCATAGGCTAGGCACAGATCTTCTGTATACAAAATGGCCAAGTGCAGAGGAGCCTCTCTTGGCTGATGTGCTGGCTGTTTTCTTGAAACTCCTCTGAGAACAAAAATGAGCCCCACCAGCACATTGTGTTACATATCTGTATGTAGCATTGGAGGGGGAAGTGAACCCCTAGTTTCCTTAAATAACAAGAAATTTATCAAAGGATAGCTGGGTCTGCGAACAGTGGTAAGCAGCATGCATTTCCAGAGCCAAGATATATCCTTAGGGCCCTGAAAAGAACCTTGCATGCCAAGAATACTGACATTAGCTTAAGACCTTGCTGTTTCTACATAGGCTGGCTCAATGGCTCAATTTAGCTGATCCAACTCTCTAAGAAGCTACCAAAACAAAGGGAGGACCCTAGCCAATTTGGCTTAGTGGATAGAGCGGTGGCCTGCAGACTGAAGGGTCCCAGGTTCGATTCCAGTCAAGGGCACATGCCTGGGTTGCAGGCTCGATCCCTAGTAAGAGGCGAGCAGGAGGCAGCCAATCAATGATTCTTTCTCATCATTGACGTTTCTATCTCTCTTTCCCTCTCCCTTCGTCTCTGAAATCAATAAAAAAAAATTTTTTTTAAAAAGGGAGGAAATGAGCCTCCAGGGTGATGTACATTTGTCTGTCATTACTACTTACATTCACCATTTTACTAGAAGTGCTAACTAGTGAAATGAGGCAAGAAAGTAAAAAGGTCTTCAAGTTGGAAAAGAAAGAATTAAAACTAGTAAAATTGTATTTGCAGATGACACGATAATATATAGACCAGCGGTTCTCAACCTGTGGGTCGTGACCCCTTTGGGGGTTGAACGACCCTTTCACAGGGGTCGCCTAAGACCATTGGAAAACACATATAATTACATATTGTTTTTGTGATTAATCACTATGCTTTAATTATGTTCAATTTGTAACAATGAAATTGGGGGTCACCACAACATGAGGAACTGTATTAATGGGTCGCAGCATTACGAAGGTTGAGAACCACTGATATAGAGAATATCCCAAAAATTTAAAGAGAATTACTAGAATTAAAAAGTGAATTTGGCAATTTTTCAAGATACAAGGTCAATACATAAAAATCAACAGTATTACTATTTACTCACAATAAACAAAAATGAAACGTAAAGAACTCCTTTTATAGCATCAAAAATATAAAATATTTAGGGACATTTTGTGAGGATGTGGAAAAAAGGGAACCCATGTGCACTGTTAATGGGAATATAAACTGGGACAGCCACTATAAAAAGAAGGAGTACAAAGGTTCCTCAAAAAATTAAAAAACAGAACTACCATATAATCTAGCAATCACACTTCTTGGTATATATACAAAAGAAATTAAATCAGTATCTCAAAGATACCTGCACTCCCATGTTCACTGCAGCATTATTCACAATAGCCAGGATATGAAAGCAACCTAGGTGTCTATCTATGAATGAATGAAGAATATGTGGTATATTGTCTGGCGTGGCTCAGTGGTTGAGCATAGAGATTATAATGCCTATGTTTTCTTCAAGGATTTTTATAGTTTCAAGTCTAACATATAAATTTTAATCCATTTTGAGTTTATTCTTATGTATGGTGTAAGAAGGTTCTCTAGTTTCATTTTACTGCACATACCTGTCCAATTTTTCTAACACCATTTATTGAATAGACTATCTTTATCCCATTGTACAATGTCCCCTCCAAATAAATAAATTAAGTATTATAAAGGTGCTGGCTGGGTTGTTTGAGTGTAGACTCAACACCAAAATAGTACCCCATCTA